AATGTGTTCCCAGATTTCACCGCTGCAATCTATAATGAATGCGGCAACGAGGCTACTTTTCCTGTCCGCCCGCACCTCCCACGCCCCTTGGCTTCTAGTTAGATATAGGGCTAAATTTAAGATTCTGGTGGTTGCTTACAAGTCCATACATAATGTTCCTCCAACCTACCTATGCTCCCTAATACACAAATATGTCCCGTCGATGCCCCTGCGTTCTGCCGAAGACCTACGCCTCACCTCTGTCCGTACTTCCACATCTGATGCTAGCCTCCAAGACTTCTCCAGGGCTGCACCTTTTCTGTGGAACTACCTTCCCTTCTCCGTTAGACTTTCACCCAGTTACCACTCCTTCAAAAAATCTTTGAAAATACCCTTCTTCAGGAGGGCATATCATCTAAACTGTTAGCAGGTTTTAACCCCCCCACCATGACTCCTCTCCTGCAACTGTTAAAAATAACCTACTAAGGTCTCAGTGATTACTTTTCTAGTAACCTATTTTATTACCCCTACTTATACCCAATATGTCACTATACCCCACTCCCTCTAGCATGTAAGCTCATTGAGCAGGGCCCTCAACCCCTCTGTTCCTGTGCGTCCATTTGTTTGGTTACATTTACGTGTCTGTTAGTCCACCCATTGTAAAGTGCTACGGAATTTGCTGGCACTAAATAAATGATAAAATTATAATAATAATAAGAGACGCAAGGTTAGCATAAGAACGCAAGACAAAATTCAAGGGTGGTTAAGACGCAAGAGGAGGCTAAAAACACAAAAAGGGGTAAGAGACATGAAGGGAGAAAGACATAACAGATGGGGTATAAGACAATTGGGGATGTAAGAGACAGTGAAGAGGAGGTTGTGCCAACATCCAATTTCTTGCAGGGGTTCAAAGTAACCAAAGTACGCCTCTAGTCCTAACCCAGTGTGACATGGGAAAGTTGTGAAATCCAATCTCCCCCTCATTTCTACATGTGTAAGATGGCTCCTAAAGACTCAAACTATTATACAGAATAGAAAAAAACGTAGAAAACGCTAAAATTCACTCTCAATCCTGTACAGGTCACATTTTTGCTGAATAACTGAAATTAAGTGACCTAGCCTCTCTTTATATTTTGAGTTAACTACAAGACTAACACAGCGTATGTGGTATGATTGCTTGGGCGTGGTATTAGACAGTCATGAGATGTAATCCATAGTATACCGAAAAATTACTTAACAAGAAAAAACAACAACATGAAAAAGGAATCACGTACTTTCTCAAAACATACTCCATTGGCACTGACCTATTTTAAGCGAAATGGAGAGTCGGGTGGGACAAGTGTTATATGCAAGCGGAGTTATGGCCCTTCAAGGTAAATCATTGCTGTTTATCTCAGAGTGGGTGCCTTAGGTGCAGTGATAATTGGAGCATATGGTCAGAGATTGAGGTGGGCCCCATGGCCTGTTTGTGTCCGGGAGCTGCGTTCTGCATGTCTCGCTATGTATGAGATAAGTGCGGGGAAGGTCTTTGAATATCTGTGCGGGGATCTAGGAGTTTTGCGGGGATCTAGGAGTTTTGCTAAGGGTCCATTCTGTGTACATTATGTGTGGTCATTTTCATTGTATTTAACACAAATGTGCCAGTTTAGCGAGCCCCAAAACTGTCCCTGTATTTTTGTGCAGTACACAGGCCACTTGTGATTTTAAAAGCATAATGGAACAGCTTAGGCTAAAATATTTCAAATG